CTTGGACGTAGTTCAACTACTCTACTCAAACTACTGTAGTTTAGCTACTTTTCCGAGTAACTTGGTAACTTTCAATTACAACTTTATTTGGGTAATTAGTGGTTTAGTTTAACTACATTTTTCAGGTAACTTCTACTCAAACTACCAACTACTTCTGAAATCTACCGTTAAGTTTGCTCATCACAAAAGTTTGAGCGCAGAAATAAATAAGACGCCAGCAGATGAAGTGGCATTCCGGAACAAGGGGCCCCCTCCCATTCCAGAAACTGCATCAAAGGCGTCCTTGGGCCAAGATGGTGACGAGCAGCCTAAACATAACACCGGCGCGCACGAACACAGGCAAAGATGCTTAACAAGCCTTGGTCGGGTATTGACCTAATCCGGTAATGCACGCAGGCGCCCGCCTCCAGCTGCAACCGTGAAAGACGGGGACACTTCAACGGTTGTTGTTGTTTTCATGTTGTTTGCCTTTAATGAGTTCTGCCTCAAGCAGTTTGGGGGTTCCACGGAGAGCGCCACTGGAATGACCTCGCAGCTGGGCGCCTGTTCCCATGGTCGCCTTGTCGTCAGCGCGTGCTCCCTTGCGAAGCCCGACTCCCCCGCGCACAAACGCAGACACGGATAATCCGTTCATGGGAGCACGTTCGCGCTTCCAGCTGCAACTGTACGAGCGACGATGCTTGTTCACGTAGTTCGACTACGCGTCCTTCCGACTTTCCACGCTAAGGAGACCTCTTCTTGGTTCAAAACGATTTACTTGTCAGGCGTGTCAGGCGCGTCAAGATACCGTAGTCGCCGGCGAGGATTGTGAGTCACCCTTGGGAGATCCTTTTGTTGGACCCGACATCAGCGGCGTAATATACTTCGTTTCATCTTCTGTCAAACCAAAGCAATTTTTTTTTCTTTCAGTAGCGTAGCACTGCACAGTCGTCCGAATGATCTCATCGTCGTGGCGCGAGACTTGAACCCTTGACGGTTAGATGCACTCGCTCAGCGTAGTTTCCGAACCTCGTGGGATAAAGAATTTCAAGATTCATAACAATCTCAACTTGCCGAAGAAAAAAGAAAAAGCACGAGATTTTCTTATAAAAGACCCTCTAGCCTAGGCGAACCTCACAAGTTTCGTCCCGGACACCTAAGATCGACACTCGCTTACTCGACCCTGCACAGCCTCTTCTCAAATTCAACGCTGCCGTTCCACCCGGCGCGTCGATGGAACGCATTTTAGCTTGGCTGGGGACGTCTTTAGGAGGAAAAGGGGAAAACTCCCGTATCGAGAACTTTGAAAGTCAATTGCTTCTGCGGGCGAATAATCTATTTTGGTGAAAACGCAAGCCATTAAATGACTGCATTTATTTTAGGCTCGCTGGGTTTTTCACGGATCAAAATTGATGTTCATTTCGCTACCACAAAAATATAAAAAAAGTAACTTCGAAAGTAACTTCAAAGTAACTCGCTACTTTTTTACAGTAGTTAGTATTTTACTCAATTACTATTACAAATGCGTAATTTCTACTCTATTCCAATTACTTTTAGCGTCGATACTCACTAACTTAACTTAACTACCTTTTTTGAGTAATTTGTACGTATCTGCTAAAACCCTCTCAAATTTTTGCGAGCCCCCCACTGCAACAGCTCTGCTACGAGGCGCGGGGAGCGGACAGGCACGCCGCAAGTGAGGCCCTGTAAATGCGGGATTAGTGCCGAAAACTGGCATTCCTTTGTGTCTCGAAGCTCAAGGAGACTTGACGTATTTAAAGAAAGGGTTTGCCCCGCTTCTCCCCAACGTAGAAACTCTCGCCCACTACAGGAGCTGTACACACTGCAGCCTCACCTAAAGGAGTCAACAAAAGGCAACACCCGCTTGTGCTGTACTTGAAGGATCGCGTGCTAAAGGGCAACGCAAAGGTGACCTCCTTGCGTTGCCTTTCTTCCCAAAACTCAGAATATGCAGGTCTTTCAAGATTCGACTATTGTTCGAGAAGCTTAATAATTCCCCCAAAGTTTTTTTGCAAAAAAAAAAAAAAAGTTGAATTGGAGAGCTTTTTAAGAACATGATACTTAAAGTACTATTTCTAGTAGGATTAAAAAACGTACTTTACTTGAAGTACATTCTCTGAGCATGTACTTGTACTTTACTAAAGTATTTTTTTCTGGTAATTTCTAAATAAAGTAAAATTTCCGACTTCAAAGTACATTCGTAAAATTTGGAAACAAAATATTGCGTATCGTCATGTGAAAACGCGCTATCGTCTTTCGAAACGTCATCTGGTAATTTCTCTGCGTGAAGTAATGGCGGCCATAAGACGGACAAAAATAAGTGCCTATAAGTGTATTGTTTTAAAGGGGCCCTGCAATCATATCTAAGCGTCTACATTTTGTGGTTTCCACGTCTCTTGGGGTTCGGGCAACCCAGCAGGCACGGAGAGGGTAACTAAATATCAGTGCGTCATATTTTAATCGGACGACGTGGAAACCTCCTCCACCTGCGGGAGCGACTCACGGTACCGAAAGCGCGCGAAATATGAGGTATTTGGTCCCGGGCTTACTACTGGTCAGAGCCGCTAAAAGCTTCTTTTTAGTCGAAATACAAAACATTAGTGGCGCGAACCGTTTCAATTATGTATGAAAGTAGTTTTTGTTCAGTATTTTAGATCAGAAAAGAAATAAATGCAGTTTATAAAGTCCGGAAAACACAAATGACCCGTCGACATACCCACCACCAAGCGGTAAAAAAGGCGGCGCATACTAGAAAGGAATAGTGGGATCAGGCTAAGACAAGCGGCGAGCGTAGAAAGGTCCCGGATGTACGCGCCGGCGCTGCGGTCGTTTACGGACTCGACGATCCGCTAGAAAATAAAAGTTTCATTAAGTTACTACGTTTAGTGCACTCAGGTTCGGTGCAAATTAAAAACCAGTAAAAAAGTAATTGCAGGACCCTTTTAAATAGTTCGTCAGCTAGAATAAAACAACTACTCCGTTCCGTGGCGACTTGACTTCATCTAATATTGGCCGCCATTTCCGAAAAAAACTGATGCTTTTCCGATTACCCCTGGAGCAATACATAACAGATAAAACAAAGTAAGAAAAATACGGTACGAAAGGGCGTCATGAGAGATGGCGTTAAAAAGTATTCGTACTTTACTTTAAAGGTATGTTGTATTTAAAGTACTTCAAGTACATTGCATGCGGTGTACTTACGATACTTGAAGTACATATATAACCTCTAAATGGCTTTTTAGTTTACTTCAAGTACTTTTTTTAGATTTACTTTACGCAACACTGTACGCAAGCAAACCCTGTCTGCAAAATCAAGCTCAGGCAGCGCTAAACCTCAAAGTAGAAATGACACATTTGCAGTACATCATTCACCAGAGAACAAAAAGTACAAAACAATCACACAGAAGCGGAACCAGTTATAAAGCACTTCTGTGAAAACACAAGCCGCTTTATATTCGGCTAGCAGAATTTCGCTAACGAATGAAAACATTCATTACTTTCTTGTTACTATAAAAAATATAAACGTAATTTCAAAAGTTATTCGCTACATTGTTATGGTAGGTAGTAATTTACTCAATTACTTTGTATTCGAGTAACCTCTACTCTACTCAAATTACTTTTGAGGCCAATACTCAGTAAATAAACTATTTACTTTTTTTTCTTATTAACTTGTACATATCTGCCGTATACACTCTAAGAAATGCCTGCGCCTCTTCTTACCCGAAAAACACACAAGAAGCCACCCTCTGCGATCCATGAGATCAGCTCAGCGAATGATGAGGCGGAACATCCGTTTAGACCTACAAATGAAGTCTGCGTTGTGGCATTACGCAAAGCAAAGCGTTATGCTCGCGTAATGACACAGGGCAGACTTCATTTTAAGGTATAAACAGATGTTCCGCCTCATCATTCGCTGAGCTGATTTCGTAAATCGCAGAGATTGGCTTTTTGAGTGTTTGGCGGGTAAGTAGACGCGCAGGCATTTCTTAGAGTGTATACATAATATACAGATGCATTTTGCACCCCCCCCCCCCCCCCCGCACCCCAAGTCCTAGACATCTTTCAAACCTCAGCCCAAAAAAATTACCCGTTGCTGTCAGTTCCTTCTTTCCTAGTGTCGTCAGTGTGCTGAATCATGTTTTTGTTTGGAAAGCCAGAAGTGAGTGATCTGATTTGATTTAGTGAGGACACACCATCGCGTTTGTTCTCAGAAGCAACAAGAACACGAATATAGCAGCACCGAAACCACAAACCGTCCAAAACAGATTGCTCAAAACACTGGCCTTGATGCTACCCGCTTGCGCTTTGCGAGCCCGTTTAGTCCGATCGGCGTTGTGCGATTTTTCACCGCAGCGTCCACCACGCTTTTTTTGATGCGCGAGAAAACGTCCCTGCAGCGAAATCGCAAGGCAACTCGCAACGTCTGAATCGGGAGTTTGTCGAACGACGTTTGATCGTTTCGTCGACACTGTGACGTTTCATTCAGTTTGTTTCATCGAAAGGTGCTTTCGTTTTATAGATACACCTCGCTACGTTTCTTCGAAAGCGTCTTCCCGCGCCTATTGCATCGGTCGCCGGCACCCGGATGGTAGCTATAGCTCGCTTAGCTATCAAGGTGCAGGTTCAGGCCTGAGATCATATTAAAGTTGTTTCGAGCGAAGCGACGCGTACTGTTTGGAAATTTAGGATTAGGGCTCGCGAATTTCTTCTTGCACTACAGCACTGACTGAGTGCGCACTGAGTTAGTTCGATTTACTTCCGGTATGCTTCCAGCGAACGAAATTAATCCAGTAATCCAATCGAACCCACTTAGTAAAAACAAAATACGTTGTCGACGAAACGCTGTAGCAAGTGTATAGTATTTGTTCACGAAACGAGTTTCCAACAAACATCGCAGTGTCGACGAAACGCGTTCCCATGACACGTGCTTTGATGAAACAATAGGGACCCGTGCCAAACGCACAAAGAATCAGTTAGCAGGAGAATGTGCAGATACTTGCTTTTTGCAGACGGCGCCCGGCGGAAGGCTTCTTGGCGGGCTGGGTGGAAGGCTTCCTAGCAAGCTGCAAGAAAGACTTCTTGGCGGGCTGGGCGGAGGGCTTTCTGGCGCGCTGGGCGGCATGTTCTCCTTGGAAGCCATAAGTGTGATCAGGGATGCCCGAAACCTCTCTCGAACCCAAGCTGCACGACTCCACTACTTCAACGGACTGAGCGAGGCGAGACACTGGAGCCCTTGATCCTCGAGCAGGATGTTTTCTATGCCTGTCTGAACTAGTCTGGACGTGCGCAACCACGTCATGGAGCCTTTGAGCCTCGAGCAAGATGTTGTCAATGCCTGTCTAGACCAGTTTGGACGTGCACAATCACGTCAAACATTCTCTATTTGTCCTTACCCGGGAGCGAAAATGTCGCTACCATTCTGTACCTACAGAGTAAAGAAACCTTCAACGTTCTAAAACCTAAGACGTAGGACTAAAAAAAAAAAAAAGTGGGGGGGGGGGGGGGGGGGGGGGGACAACACAGACACAGAATTTAAACTCAACTAATCACTTTTCCACTTATTCCCCCAGCCTCATACAACCATCCCTCGGGCGCATGATTGTCACACTGTCAAACACTCCCTCCACCCCACCCTTTCCCCAACTCCCTCCGCAGTTCGTAAACAAGATCAATAAGCCAACCTCATACCCAGACTATCCCTTCCCCCAACTCAAAATCTTGACGCCGACACCGAAGGGGAAGGGGGGGGGGGGGGGGGGGGGGGGGGAGGGAGGGAGTAACAACCGCTCCACAGATCGCTGACCTAACTAAGCCTATAATTTTAACCTTGAGAACTCAGGTGAAACTCGACAAACCGTGTGACTTCCGGAGGTGACATTCTTAACCCCCCATCCCGCCCCCCCTGCCTCTCTCTCTATCTCTCTCTCCAAAAATAAAAACAGGAAACCGGCTAGCACAATCAAAACCATGATCAAAACACAGACTCAAAGGCTTTGAAATCTCTTTGTTGCCTCGTTTATAAAAATACTCGGGTTTTAAATTGTTGAAAGTTCACCAGCTCGGGCTCGCATCTTCTCTGTCTTTTTAAAGAGACATCTTTTTCATTTATTACGCTCATGGCTCTCAATTATCGGCCTATTCTGAACAAACCTACGCTCTATGGCAGGGGTCTCAAACACGCGGCCAGGGGGCCGCATGCGCCTGGGACGTAGCCCGCAGGCAATATTCTAAAAAAATAAATAAATAAATAAATAAATAAATAAATAAAAAAAGCCCGTGCGTTTACTTTCCCGCACAACACTCGGAGAGCCAATCTCCGCAACTTACGGGGGCAGCAAAGCAAATGCCGATGCCGAAACATATGTCTAGACGAAAAAACACAGTCTTAGTTGTGGCATTAAGCAATGCATGCAAGCGTGACGTTTTGCATTGCTTAATGTCACAACTCAGACTGTGTTCTTTTTTGGACTAAACAGAAGTTTCGGCAGCGTCATTCGCTGAGCTGCCTCCGTAAGTTGCGGTGATTGGCTCTCCGAGTGTTGTGCGGGAAAGTAGACGCAAGGGATTTTCTTAAAAGTGAACCGGTTACAAGTCAAGGTTCCCATGTCTCGAGCGCTATGCGGAGAGCAAGTCGTCTGCTTCTTGCGTAGGAGTTGCTGTGACGTCACAGCGACGCCGAGCACTGATTGGCCTTGATTGAAAGAACAGTGGGTAGACCTCAACGCTAGATGGCTTGAGGTCTACCTACTATTTTGTTTTTCAATCAGCCAATAAGAGATCAGCGTCGTTCTGAGGTCACCGCAACTTCTGCGCGAGAAGCAGACGACTAACTCTCCGCATAGAAATGGCATGCGCCACACTGATCTCATCTCGCCGACTCACTTTCGCTCGAAAACAAGGTCTGCTCTTTTAATGTGTTCACATTGTTTATACTTATCTGTGTTCATTAGCCCTTTGTTTCGTTTTATTATTTTGCTTCCCAGCTTTTTAAAATTTACAAGTACAACAATTCCGCTACTAAACTGCAAGCGCGAGCTGTTCGTTGAAGGATGCATCTCGGCTGCGCGAATTCTCGATCACGTGGAGCAACTGCCAATGATAAAGCTACGAGCTCGGGTATCACCATTAAAAGAAGTATTTGTTCAGGGTGTCGTAATAAAAATTGCCAGGAAAGCAAGACCTCTCAAATTAAGTGATTTTTTCTTTTTTTGATACATGTTGAGCTTCGTTAATTTTTGAGTGTATTGAGCAACGGGAACGACTGTGTACTTCCTGTTGAAAAGTAGTGAAAGTGCACAATAAAGACGGATACGAAGACGGAGAGCCAAACAGGACGAGCGCTGACTAACAACTGAATTTCGTATTCGTCTTTATTGTGCGCTTATACTTCTCAACATGCATAACCAACTCGCCTGTATCGCTACGTTAGTGCACTTCCTCTCTTGTTCTGTTAAAAATGACAGCAGATTGGCGGCGCGGTGTCATTTTAAATCTTGTTATCACATCACGTCAGGGCCTCAAGTAGTCATATAAACAAATCAAATTTAAATATGTCACTGGAAAAACTGAGAGTTTAAAGCAGCATTTAAAGCACTTGCGATAAGAAGTGCACACCTCAAAAGACTTAAATTTGAAGTTTAGTAAGCAGGCTCGCTGTAAACAGCAGATACAAGATGTTGATCATTGTTACCAGTGACCATCACCGACTTGCTAGGCCTGATTGGCATGGTACGATTCTGCTTTAGATTTTCAATATCGACGTCGACCATCTCAGCTACGGTTCACGCTTTTGCAGCCCGAGCGGCGTCGCAACTGAAGATTGCGAGCAAAATCTCATCATGCGAATCAGGCTTTAGCGTACATTCTGCGGCGTCCACGCGGAATGAATCGCCGCATGTCACATTATTGACGCGGAGTTTTGCGGTGTAACGAGCCTTGTTAATTTCGCTGAGGCCGCTCAAGTGGTCAGACATCGCCAGGAAGACGTAGATTCAACAATTCGAACGCGAAAAAGGGCAGGGGGACTTACACGAACGCCGATAACATCCTATTTCAATGGTTTGTTTATGGGCGACGGCGAGCTTCTTGCCCACACCCCCATCGCGCATGCGCGGCGCCGGTGGCGCCCGCTAGGGGCGCTCCGGTTTGTTTGTAAACATGAGTTGGTGTATAACCAAGTTCCATACCACACATTCTCTTTCTGACATGGATGAAAACGAACGAAAACCTCGGCATGCTGCGGCTCACCGTCTACGCAGACAAGCACCACCAGAGCTTCGCCCCAATCAACATCATTCACCACGTGGAGATGCGGTTGTTTTTTGTTGTTGTTGTTTTCTTTGCCTTACGCGAGCACGGGAGCACGTGCTCACGTGCCCGTGAGCACGAGCACCCGACGCCAGACATCGGACGGACATACGGACATGGCTAGCCCCTAAGGAGCTTCGCCCCTAATAAATCTGATGACCGCAAGTATCCGTGAATTCAACCCAAGGTGCTTCCCGCCCTAGATATCGTGGTCCGACGGCGTCTAGTCTTCCTTTTTCCCGAACCGAAAACTTATTTTGCGCCATAAAACCCCAACCAACCCAACCAACCAACTTAAAAACTGCCCTTCAACACTCTAAAAAAAGGGCATGCGTCTGCTTTCCCGCGTAACACTCGGAGAGCCAGTCACTGCAACTTACGGAGGCAGCTCAGCGAATTACGATGCTGAAACATATGTTTAGACCAAGAAACGCAGTCTGAGTTGTTACATTAGGCAGTGCAAGCGCGACGTTTTGCATTGGTTAATGCCACAACTCAGACTGCGTTTGCGGTGATTGGCTCTCCGAATGTTAATTGTGCTGAAAAGCAGACCCACGAACTCTTTTTTTTTTTTTTTTTTTTTTTTTTTTAAGAGTGCGTGCACGCATTGGACACAAGCACTGCGCCGCTCAGACGTACGCGCTCGTCAACAATCAATCCGTCTACGAATATTTGAATTCGCGTTCGTGGCCAATGAGTGCCGCGACGGCACTTATATTATCGCTTGTAAATGACAAGTTCCATGGTGTGCTTAAAGAGCACTCTGGATGCCCAAGCACGTCATGTCCACGGCATTTTTTATTTCGCTTTTGAGTCGATGATAAAAGCTGAGGAGGAAGAAGATGTGAAGCGATTAGCCCGCCGTTTAAACTAAAATTACAAGCAAGCAATTCTAATGGCTGAAAAAGTGGTCAAATGTATTTAAAAATATGAGCAACTCAAGACGACTGTCAGTAACCGGAATGTCAGTACCAACGCTGGCGGTCGCAATTTTTTAATCAATAAAACCAGATAGTAGGACATCGGCTCAAGGTATTCACAAACTCAGCTTTGTTACGTCAAGGCGCGGTGGTGGCGCGTCGAGCGACTTCCGCTCTGGGGCTGTGGGCGGAAGTGATCACGCGAACGTGCATTCCTGCGTTGTTTTGAAAGAAACCAGACTGAAACTTGCCTTTTCGTCAAAACGTATACTATCTAAGAAGTCTATGGATATCCGCTGTGATTCATAGACCATGCGTAGGAACGTTTAGTGAACAGCAGGGCGTTTCGACCGCTGCAATAATTCTGCTCTGGACGAAAGCACGTGCCATTGCTTGCCAAAAGCAGCAGGCTTGCCTGAACTACCTTCGCGTGCGCGCTGCACGTGTTTGCACGCATGAAGTACTCTGGACGCCAGTTTTGCAGTATTCACGACGAGATATTTCGGTATGGTTTTTATCTGTGATATTACGACCAGGATTATCGATTGCTAGCGACGTTTTCAGTGCGTAGAAAGCACAGTGTAGATTCGGAGTTATCGCGTCCTGAAACATCCAGGTTGACAGTCTGAAATGGCTGTTATCTCTTTTAGTAAAAGTACTATTCGTCATACCCAAGACGCCCTAGTGAGCGTTGGACCAATTGTGGAAGGCCGATTACAGCGACGTTTCAGGTCGCGCACGCCGCCAGTAGAGTGTTTCCAGATGACATCGATCCAACGTTTTGGTGGTACATGTGACTTCTTGCCTCCCGAGATAGGCGACTTTGACGGCGCAAAGAAAACGCTCAAGCCGCAATTCCACTGCTAATACGTCGTACAAAAGACAGTGTGCAAACACTGTCTGGAGCGTATTCCTTCCTTGTGTGACCGTCCTGTCACACTGGCGATACAAAACTGTTTAAAAACATGCTCGAAGTATACATAAAT